ATATTTATAATGAATTTTAATAATTTTTTCGGATTTTTTTGAAGCTTTTTTCTGACCGATTCACCCGATTCCCTATCCGGATAGCCGATTCGCTGATCCGGATCGGTTTTTGAGGTGCCCGATCCGGGTCACCGATCCGCTTTTTAAACCATTGTTTAAAAGCATGGATAGCATCTAAAATGACCCCCTAGTCTGCATCATGGACCTCTAGATGTGTTACTGACCTTGATTGACCTTTTATGATACTCTCCGGTGAATTTACACCCATTACAAGACCCTCCGGTGAATCTGCCTCCTATATCAATATGCTTCAGTCGATACTTGATTGACCTTTTATGATACTCTCCGTTGAATTTACACCCATTACAAGACTCTCTGGTGAATCTGCCTCCTATATCAATATGCTTCAGTAGATACTCAAAACAAACCTTTTTACTTTAGATATTTGTCCTTACATACTCTGGTGCATAGAAAATATAACAATCCTTTTTACTCATCTCGAGATTCGTCTCAACAAAAATACCGCTTCCTTTATTCTTTATTCTCTAAACCATGAACACGCTCGGAATGAAAACAACTTCATACTTGCCGGAAAGGTAAAGCATAAATATTAGCCCTTTCCCACATGTCACTCCTGATAGGAACATTGTATCCTTATAGAATGATGTGCCAGATAAGGTATGGCGCATCACATGTTCAAAATGTTGTAGACATACAACAATCATGTAGGGCCATGTGTTGCCACAAAAACCAGACACGATGACCGCTACGCTCACTACACTGCAACTGCCGGACAAGATCAAAAGCTATTAAATGTAAGTGTTCAATGGTTATAAATACCTACAAGCAAAGAACAACCAAGATGCATTGAGAGAGATATACATGCAGACAAAAAAGTGCATTGTATGCTCAGTACTTAGAGAAACAGAAGACCCTTTGATGTAAAGGATGCTTCTTCAAGTGAGTTCATCTGTGATCAATTAGCAGAGGTTTTTTGCTTCTCCATTGTATGAGACAATGAATGTAATTAACAAGGCGTCCACAAATACTTGGAACTGCTTGATCCAGATATAAATGAAAAGCTCTGTACATGGATATACTTTATCTGAGTGATGGTTTGAAGTCTCCTTGTGCTGTTTTGTGTTTATTCTCACATACAGCTTAAGATTACCCCAAAAAATCATCTGCCCCTCCAGGGGTTTTCTCGCTATCCTCCTTGACCCGCATATTTCAATTGCTTCCAACTGTCCCTCCAAAGTCCAAGTTTTCAGTTGGATAGCAATATTCGAAAGAGCCCTTACAGTTGATCAACTCCAGAGAAGGGGAGTTCAGATTCCAAATAGATGCACCATGTGTACCGAAGGTGAAGAAACTAGTGCCCCTATTTTTATTCAATGCGATCTCACAAGAACCCTTTGGGGCGACCTGATGCAACTCTTCAACTGTCGTGGGTGACTCTGCCTTTGAAACCTCACTTCTTTTGCTCCTTCCACTCTCCACCATGGTCGAAGTCGGGTATCCTTCTGTGGCAGGCAGCCGTGGCAGCCATGTTGTGGGTCATCTGGATGGAGAGAAACAATTGGACCTTTTGCGGTGAGAAGACGATCACAGTGGCCTTGAAAGATAGGGTCAAAACACTGGTCATCTTTTGGGCAAAAACAGCAAACACTTCAAGCACTTCTCCTATTAGGATTTTCATCAAGAGTGGCTAGTGATGATGTACCTAAGGCCTAGCCATATCTCTCGTGCCTCTCGCTGGAGACCACTGGAACCAAGCCAAACCAAGCTCAATTTTGATAGTTGCTCCTTGGGCAACCCGGGCCCAGAAGACATTGGGGGTATATTCAGAGACAAGGACGGCTGTACCATCCTTTCCGACTCCTGTTTTGTCGGGCACACCGACTCCAGTACTGTGGAAGCTTTGTCTCTCCTCGAAGGCCTTCGGAACTTCAATCCCGATTGGATCCCAATTTTGGTTATCGAGGGGGGCTGTGAAAACGTTTTGCCATGGGCTTCAAGATCCTCATCTTGCCCTTGGAGGTTGGATCATATTTTTGACGAGATCTCCCAAATTTGCAAGCTTATTCACCTCTTTTGGAGGCATACCTGGAGGGAGGGCAATGCAGTGGCCGATTCCCTCGCTAAAGAGGGAGCTACACAGGATGACCGACATAGGGGACCTTTTGAACAACTTTTTAAGCATCCCCATCGTGTTACCTTTTTCTGCTCTTTATACTGGTTGTATAGCATTTCTTGGAGCCCTTAGGGGTCACAACCATTTTTTTAGCCCTTGGTGTTTTTTGTACAGGGCACTCGGTCTATGGGTTGCCTAAACTCTTGTAACTTTCTTCTTGTGATTTTCTACTACTTAATACAACAGTTAACATGTTCATGCAGATTAGGAAGTGTGTGCTATATTCATTTAAGTTTGCCAGTTTATTTGATATGATATTTCTTGCATATTTTTGCTTTTCTTGTTTGATGTCAAAGTATCAAACTAAAAACCAAATTTACTGCTAGGTTTGGCTGGCTTGTCGACAGCAAAATATCTTGCTGATGCTGGTCATGTACCCATATTATTGGAGGCAAGAGATGTCCTGGGTGGCAAGGTTATGAGCTGCAACACTTTTAATTCTGCATGCCATCTGCTCTTCTTCCACTGTATTAGAATCCGCCACTGTAATGAAAAGAGTTTTATTCCTGTATCTTTGTTTTCCTTTTTTTCCCTTGACATGTTCTCATATTTGCAGGGCCTTTTGTCAGCTGCTTATAACTAATTTTCATTGCATTTAGATCCAATATGATTTTATGGTATTTTATGTATCATGTACTAGTTATATCATGTACTAGTTATCATATAATCAACTTTTTCCTTTCATTTTCTCTCATAAAATGCTCTTGGTGCATGTGATATTCAAGATATAGTAGCTTTATTCCCCTGCATTTAATTTAGTTTAAACTCATGAAGGGTACGGCCTGAATTTTTTATGTTTTAGTGGACCCTGATAGTAAACCCATTCACTTGATATTAACATAACTGAAATGATAGATCATGGAATACACCTATAGAATAATTGGGATAAGGCTTCGATGATGATGATGATGATGGTATGCACCTATAGAACATGAATTTTTCAAGGTCTATGGATATCAACTGAGTTATTTTGATAGGGAAACAAGGCAGTTCGTTTAACCATCTGATTCAACTTAAGAGCTTTCCATCTAAGGATAGTCACAGTAGAATTGGATTCTCCTGAATATTGCTCAAGTGAAGGTGCCCACATCTAGTCGGCACATGGCTCTTTGATTGGCAGACCTATTCAGTCTGTCAAATGCATGAAAGAGATCCCTTAACCTTGCATGTTTGAAATGGAAACTCCAAAGCAATTTAGCTTTATACACCTAAAACCACAGGCTAACCTTTCCCAGCCTTTCCTGTCCTAAAACACAAAAAATTATCTGGACATTCTTGTTAGTTTTATTTAGTGGTACCTATGACATCATTGCTTAATTTCTGAAGTGAAATGCCATTGTGGGATTTCACTATTCATTGAGAATGAATATACGATTTAGTCAAATATTCATTGAGTCCTTAGAATACTTGGGAATGAATATACGATTTGGTCAAATATTCATAGAGTCCTTGGAATACTTTGCAACACATGGTCACTTCAGACATTGAAACATAGTTGGCTATGCTTTAATCATTTCTGTTTCACCTTTCCTACCTACCCGATAACACCCCTCCCCCCCCCCCCCCAAATTGAAATTATGTCCCCAAAAGTTTCCAAAACACCCTTATTGTAAATAATTTTAGATGGTCATCTTTGCCTACCTGTCAATTCATGTCTTCTAGGATGACTAAATGTCTTTAATCACCTGTAGCATTCAGTATTGCATTAATTTAAAGTTCAGATGTATCACTCATTGCTTGAAACTGCACACGTTTTTACACCTACAGACCACTTGCTTACCATGGTGTCTGAAGGCACATAAAATTTACCTGGGCATCAGTTCCAGAATAGTGCCACAAACATTTGTTAAGTACCATAGTGAACCTTCAACATGGATGAGCGCATTGATCATAAAGGGGCTTAAGAAATTGCTTTTAAGAAGACTCTAACCCCTCCCACTGAAGCTAGAGGCTCCACTTACCATGAATGCGCAACCTATTGCGGGCTCTAGAACATAAAACATAGGAGTGTCTTCCGTAGAGGCTATTCCTTATGTTGGCAACTACCAATGGGAGAAACAATCATGCAGTAGGAGGCACTCTAATTGTAGCTTTTTTACCTGATGTGTCAATTTGGTTTTGTGATAGCTGTTTGTGATTTTTCTGAAAGATCAGACAAGCGTGAGATGTGATATACTGAAAGGAGAAGTTTGCCCTCTTGATTGATGGCTCTGAAACTTAATTTAATTGTCTAATCCTTTGTTAACCAAGAGTGGCTGGAGTAGGGATTTATCAGCTGAGTTCAACCAAGGTGTTCACGAGACGAGTATTTTTAGAGTTGGAGCTTGTGGCTCTTCTCAATTGGCTCAGATTCTTAATGGTTTCCTTTTCTCTCCTTTCTTATCGATTTTAACTCCTTAATGCAAGCCTAGAAGGTCATCTTCCACTCCATGGAAACAGGTGGATATTGTTGAAGTGATTTACAGTTCGTTAGTTGTTGGAATGTATATTTTCTGCACAATGTTGAAGAGCTAATAAGGATGTATATTTATTCGTGCTATGGAGGTCACTGGATTTCACTTGTGTGTTTGGTACACACTTTGCAATTTATTCTTGTAATGTGTGTTTTACTCCTTTGTTTAACAGTAGGATTTATTCTTAAAAGAAGAAAGCTTTTCAAATTGATATGAATCATTGCCTATCCTAATTTTTATTACTGCCATGATTTGGGCCCAAAGCCCTTTGCCATCCCTAGCTTCTCTAATTCGTGCATTGGTAAAATGAGATGAAATTAAATTGTAAATGACTTCAGGAGTTTAAGCTATAGTGTCCACATACAAAGTAACTAACATACAAGTTTAGGATTGAATGCCATCGCCAATTACATAAATGCTCCTCATCATCCAGGCATTATCCCAGTGATTTGGGGTCGGCTACATAAATGCTCCTCGTACATACACAAAATACTAAGGTTGTGGTTTCTATAAGGCCGAGGCTCTAAACCATCAAAGTAGGGCGCGCCTTCAAATAGTGTCGGAAGATGTTGTTTCAATACTAGAAATCTTTGTGATGGCCTGAAAATTTATTTTCATATCTAATTATAAAATTTAAAGTTTAAAGAATAGAGTAGATCGAGCAGATCTATGAACACTTGAAAATCTTGAAAATTGATGGTCAAAAATACGTTACAAGATTCACTATTTCCAAGACTTGAAATCCACTTTTTTGTCGTGTCCGTACATCTTGAGGTTGAGATGATCAATTTGAGCAATTTTGAGCATTGAAACAACCTTTTCTAATGAATTTTTGAGTTGCGCCCTAATTTGATTGGTACCTATATTTTGCTAATGACAATCCATTATTTCAATCATCTTAGATTTATCAGCATTCTCCTATGAAATATTTTTGTGAAGGTAATTGATACGTACAGCATGTGTAACTAAAATTTAACGTTTGATATCATAGGTCGCAGCATGGAAGGATGAGGATGGAGACTGGTACGAGACGGGATTGCATATATTCTGTAAGATTGATTCCCTTGCCCAAAATGAGAGAGAGACAAAAAAATGATAATAATAATTAAGTTTCTATGGGAGCTAGAGTTTCTTGCATGTATGTTCTTGCTCGCTGTAGATCTAGAGTGAGGCATGGTCTTTTTCCTTATAGCATTTCTTATAAGATGACTTACTTGCCTTTGGTGATATGTTTTTGTGTGATCCATCACTGCTATTCTCTTATTAATTATCTCAAACTCTTACTAGAAAGAAGTTGTCAATGTTGCTTCTTGATATTGACTTTGTTGATGGTGTAGACATTCTAGGATATTGAGAAAGAGGAAAAATACATGATATATTGTTGCATTTGAGGTATAAGCCTCTGATATGATGTTTAAAAACCTATAAGAAAAAAAAGACAAAATACACAAAATGTCCTTAATAACAAGAAGGATAACAAGGAAACTGAAATAAATGGTATCGAGGACACAATTACCCTTCTTATAAATGCTGGTAATCTGGACGTATTTATTTCAATACACTTGAAACTGGTTTGAATCTAGCTTGCCGCTCTTTAAGGGTACTTCCTAGCGTTATCGGAACCAGATCAGACCAGCTGGTCTGATTTCTTGGACCACCAACCAGACCTCAGACCCATTTGGTCCACTTAAAAGCTAGATCTCTAAAAAACATGCACATATCTAAGTTATTTAAATATAATTTAGTGTTTTTACAGTTTTCAACTGTCTCATCGATTGACTGCCTGTCGAACTGCTAATAGAATTGGACTGAATACTTCTATGCTCAACTGTCCTTGTCTGGTTCTGGTTAACACCGATTCTTCCAACTTGTCCTTTCCTAGACAAGTCGTAAACAATCATACTGGTTGATTAATTTTCACTGGTGATTGCTGAGGACTATAATGATCTCAAGTAGATAACAATTGATAGATAGTTTATTTATTGAAAAAACATCATCATCATCATTGTCATCATCCGAGCTTTATCCCAACTATTTGGGGTTTTGGCTACATGAATCATGTTCGTTTATTCTATTCTATCAAGGACCATACCCTCAGTTAGACCATAAGTCACCATATCTCTTCTCACTACTTTTGGGCCTTTCCCTTGCCCTTTTAGAGCATTCTACTTGAACCAAATCACATCTTCTAACTGGTGTGTAGGTCGATGCTACATGTGTCGAGACCACGTAAGTCTACTTTCCCTCATCTTATTACCTATTGGAGATACCCTTAAGTTCCTTCAAATATATTCATTCAGAATTCTATCATTTTTTGTCTTATCACTCGTCCATCTCAACATGCTAATCTCAGTGATGTTCATTTTATGGATATGTTGTTTCTTGACCGCCCAACATTCTGTCTCATAAAGCACGACTGGTCTTACAGTTGTCCTATAGAACTTCCCCTTCAATTTCATTGGTATGCGCTGATCACATAAGACTCCAGAGGCACATCTTTACTCCGTCTAATTTTATACCTGTCATCTTCCTCAATCTCTCCATCCTCATGGATTATTGATCAGAGATATCGACAATAATATATTTTAGTTACTTCTTGGCCATCAATCTTAGTTAATTCTTCATTTCTACTCTTATTATTACTAAACTTACATTCCATACTTTGTATTAGTCTATAGCTAATTTTAAAACCTTTAGATTTTAAAGCATCCCTCGAAAGTAGCTAACTTTGCATTGACGTCATCTCCAGTCTCATAAATCAAAGCTATGTGATCTACAAAAACATGCACCAAGGCACCTCATCCTATAGATACCTAGTTCACCTATAACCAAAGCAAAAAGATATGGGACTCAATGTCTACCCATGATATAGGCCTGCTGTCAATGAAAACTCACTTATCTCTCTACTAGTTGTCCTCACACTAGTTAGCGCTCACTTGTACATATCCCTCACCATGTCAGTATATCCTCTTGCGACTCTTTTCTTTTCCAACATCCACCAAATTGACTCTCTAGGTACCCTATCGTATCGAAAATAACATAAATACATAATTTAATGTGAATCTTCCTGACAAAAGAAGTCTCCCTAACTTGTGGGCATCAAATGGAAGCTCTCAGATGTGATATCGTATCATCAAAATCTACTTGCTATCAATCATTTACCTCAAAGATCTGCCTGCGTTTTACTTGTGGCTGTAAAAATTCTCAAAAAATTGACCATTAAATACTGTTTTATGCCATCTGTATGCCATAGATATGGATTTTTATGTAAGTTAGTATTTTGACCTCTTAGGTCTTGAACAATCTTCCAGATGTGCTTGATGATTTTACTAGTATATACCACACATCCATGAATGTCTCATATTAATTATCCTGAATGTGGAGGCCCATGTGGATTTTGGTATCATGTAGTCAGTGCTCCACCTAAAGTAGTATGTTTGTGTGTTGGTTGAAAACTGGTATTTTCAATTTCTTCCAACTTACAAAGTGGCGGTGTTTTATGGGTGGATGGACCCCTAAACGGGGTATAGAACCCAAAACAGCTCCAACCCATTTTTCTTTGTGGCATCCAGATGAGGTATCCATATCAAGATTTATCTTGTCCTCGTTACATAAATCTTATTAAGATAAAGCATGTTTCTTGTGCTTTGTTAATATTCATAGTTGGAGCTTATCCGAATATACAAAACTTGTTTGGGGAGCTTGGTATCAATGATCGGCTGCAGTGGAAGGAGCATTCCATGATTTTTGCGATGCCGAACAAACCAGGAGAATTCAGCAGTTTTGATTTCCCAGAAGTTCTACCGGCACCATTGAATGGTATGCTGCTGTGTGTTCCTTGGCCTTCTTATCTTTGGCTAATTCATCTGTTGCTTTCTTTTTTCCTTTTTCAGTTGGTGCATTTGATGGCATAAGATGTTTTGATTGTTTTATGGAATTCCCTTATAGTTTACGAAAATTCATACTAGTACTCAGCATGTATGCTATTTGTCTTGGTAATGCCCTAACATAGTTTTTATCTTGCCACATATTCAATTCAGCATTTCGTTACATCTAAATAGTTATATAATTTGCAGGAATTTGGGCCATATTAAAGAATAATGAGATGTTGACTTGGCCAGAAAAAGTGCGCTTTGCACTGGGACTTTTGCCAGCTATGGTGGGAGGGCAATCCTATGTTGAAGCTCAGGATAGTTTGACCGTCAAAGAATGGATGAGAAGACAGGCATGTTACCTTTCTTTTCTACTCTGACGTGATATTTATTTTCTTGTTGATACTAGGCCATGGATTTCTAAGATTAGGAATGTGGAATTTTTGGGTAGTATATCGTAGTAGTTTTGTCAACAACCAGACTTAAGCCCAAAGTGCCTTATGTTTATTTTAAGTTGCAACTTAAGTATTATTGGGAAATGTTTAAAGGCTGTGAACTTCAAGCGTGACGAAGTTAGCCATATTAAGTATTGGAATTGAAATTAAAGAATGAAGAGTTCGTTTGGTAACTAGTAGGTTTGGAGACTTTTTGGTCCATTTCGAAGACAAATGGTGTTGCATTTCGAATACCTCTTCCAGTTCTGAGCAATATGAATTATGATTTTATTTGTTTGTGAAATTTATTGCTGACTTCTTAATCTCTCATGGATGTGCTGTTTCTTCTCGATACTCACCTCAGTTTGAAAGATTGTTGCTGTAAAATAGATGGACTGGGTTTTGGTGTCCATCGATAACTAACCATTTTTTGTGAAATATTTGATTTCGTAAAGTATTATCTTTCTGCTCATAAATAAAACGCGTTGCTGATAAAAGAAAGGTAACCATGGTGCATTCTTGTAGAATTTTTTCTCCTTAGATATTTTATGAACATTTCTTGTTTCTTGTGTTATTCTGATGTGTGATCTGATATCACAGGGTATCCCTGATCGTGTCAATGAAGAGGTTTTCATTGCCATGTCAAAGGCTTTAAATTTCATAAACCCTGATGAGCTTTCAATGCAGTGTATACTGATTGCTTTAAATCGCTTTCTCCAGGTTTGTTTTCTTTAATTCTGATCTTATTGGCCAAACTTCAAAACATGCAATCAAGATGAGTCTAGAGAATTTATAGAATAAATGAATGATGAAAATAGGCACGAAATTCTTGCCCATAAACTGCTGATTTACTTAGTCCTACAAATATATGCAATGTAAGGACAGGAGACTACGCCATACACGCTCGACAGTGAAAACGATTCTCCATTGGAGTCATCACCATTAAATGTAATGGATGGTGATGGAGAGATTCGCCATTTTCCTGTTCTGGCAGGTCCCTCTCTTTCCATCACTTTCCGTCGTTTTATTCGACTCTGAGGACCTCAATCAACTAAGGCTTTGCATACTTCTGTGGATTATAGCATTGTCTCTGTAAAAAAAAACTTGTACAAAAATGACAGGTATTTGCATGTTAGTAACTGTTCCAAAATGTGAAATTTGTGCCACAAAATTGTGTTGAGATTGGAATCTTTCATATGTGACATCTGATGCATTCCTAATTCACAAGTCATTTCTAACAGGAAAAGCATGGCTCCAAGATGGCTTTCTTGGATGGTAACCCTCCAGAGAGACTATGCATTCCAATAGTTGACCACATCCAATCATTGGGTGGTAAAGTTCAAACTAATTCACGAATACAAAAAATTGAGCTGAACCATGATGGTACCGTGAAATGTTTTGTACTCGGAAATGGAAATGTTGTTGAAGGAGATGTCTATGTGTTTGCTACACCAGGTACTATCATTTTTCGCATCCAGCCTCTACTTTGAATTTAAAATATGCAGTTTAGAAACTTGGATGCAATTTCCCTAGAGAGATTATAAATTAGCATTTATAGATAGGTGGTAGATTCATTACTACAGCTTTTACAGTGTTTTCTCCCTTTTGTTTGAATCAGTCGATATTTTGAAGCTACTTTTGCCGCAAGATTGGAAAGAGATATCTTATTTCAAGAAATTGGAGAAATTGGTGGGTGTTCCAGTCATCAATGTTCATATCTGGTCAGTTAACTATCATTTTGAATTTCTCCATTTGGTTGTTTTTAGTTTAACCTGTGCTTTCACATTGTTTGAGGCTGATTGCTCCTCACACTATCTTGACCCATAATTCTTGATTAGGTCTTTTATTTAAGTACTTGCGGCTAGAAATTATTTCCTTGTCTCTATTGGGTGTTTTATTGTTCTATTGGGTGTTTTTTTGTTCTTGTTTCTTTGTCAGGTTTGACAGAAAGCTGAAGAACACTTCTGATCATCTACTTTTTAGCAGGTCTGCTTTTATGTTCTCTTTGTTTCTTAGATTACAATACAGTATAAATCATGGGGTTTCATTTTTGCTTCCTCAATTTATCTGTTTACCCTTTCTTTATCTTTAGAGTGATAAGATGAAATTGCACTTATTTTAGAAGACCGACAAAGTTGAATTTGCTTCTCATTTTCTGTCTGAAGTCCCTAAAGGAATTGCTTTGTTGATAAATTTCCCATAAATGATATGTTCTTTTCATATAAATTTAAATCTTGCTTAAGACTTTGGATCACTTCAAAAAGACGTGAGTAGTCTGTTTTCACATTCTGAACCCATCTATGCCTGAATTGTATATAACCAAGAGGAAGTTGTATGCATTATGATCTGATGAGACTCATTTTACTTCAGTCTAAAATTTGGTTTCATCTTGTAGCAGAAACTGATATTAGTATAATGGCCTCCATCATGTAAGCATTGTGCCTCGGATATATGGCAAATTCAGAAAAGTGACTTTTTAAAAATTTTGGGTTTCCTACAAGTACTTCCATTGATACTCGAAAAATATGAGTATCTTTTTTATTTTATTTAAGGGCACATTTAATCCAAAAATTACTGTTTCTCATCTCCTTATTGAATTAAGAAGTTGATTTCTCTTGCAGAAGTCCCCTCTTGAGTGTCTACGCGGACATGTCTGTCACTTGTAAGGTGAATGTCTACTGATCAATACAAGAAACTGGGGGCAGCACTTTCATTATCAACTTTTAGCCCAAAATATGAAATGTTTTCTTCAGAAATGGAGTTTATAAGATGTTCTCCTAGCTTGCAATTGAGATACTTTGTTTTTGTTAGATTTGTTGTGAAAAGTATTTTGACTAGTGATTAATTTGTTAAAGGACATGAAAATCTTCATTTCTTTCATTTTTGAAAGATATATTCATTTTCGTTTTTGTTCTTCACTGTAGACAATTGTTTAACTTTTTTTTCCCCAATTTCTCTTGCCTTTGCTTTTTAAACAAGATTTTTGAACCCCAATCTGGTGTTTGAACTTTTTTTTTTTTACGTTTTTTGAAGTAACAAATCAGGTGTTTGAGTTTACATTAAATTTTTTATGAAACAAAGATTATTATCATTTAATTTGACCATTGCTTCTTTCTCATGCAGGAATATTATGATCCTAATAGGTCCATGCTTGAGTTAGTTTTTGCACCAGCAGAAGAGTGGATAGGGAGAAGTGATGAAGAAATAATTGAAGCTACAATGATGGAGCTATCAAAACTATTTCCTGATGAAATAGCAGCCGATCAGAGCAAAGCAAAAATGCTCAAATACTATGTTGTCAAAACACCTCGGTGAGCCTTTTAGATCTGAATTTGGCTATCCCATGAAGTGGATGCGAGGTTTAAATTGTTAAAATTAACAATTTAATGTCAATGTAGACACCATTTTTCTCAAGCTTGACTCGGGCCTCGGACTAGGCCAAGTCTGATTGGACGTGGCCAAGTCATGTACAGGATGAAAGCACCATAAAAATTTCAAAAAAATGTGAAAAATTGTTAAAAATAGAAAAATCTAAAATGACCAATAGAAATCATTAGAAGTCTATAAAAGTTCAAAAATGTATATAAAATACCGACTATTGAAAATATTGATTTATATCTTGAAATATTCAGGAAAACAAAATGGCGCATATAATAAGATAAGTTGCCATATCATCTCAAACGATGTAAATCATATATTAATGCATTTTTTTTTATTATTTTCAGATTGTAATAAAAATCGTGGCTTTTAATTAATTTGTAACAGGGGAGAATTGCCCCTGGAACTCGCCTTGGCCATAGGCCGAGGCCAAGTTCCTCGGCCTAGTCTTGAAACATTGGCTAGCACCTTAATGGTTTCACCGCTACCAGTTGAACCTCCACTTTTTGTCTCTCTTTTTCATTTTAGGATGGTATTTTATTTGATCAAATGGTATGTCTTTGATGAAATAACTTTGGGCAGATCGGTCTATAAAACTGTGCCGAATTGTGAACCATGCCGCCCTCTGCAAAGATCACCTATCCGAGGATTTTATTTAGCAGGAGACTACACGAAACAAAAGTATTTAGCATCAATGGAGGGAGCTGTCCTATCTGGGAAGCTTTGTGCCCAGTCTATTGTGCAGGTATGGCTTCAAACAGCCTATGTTTTAAGTTATTCTTTAAAATAAGAAAGGAATTTGTGGACATGGATTTTGTTTTACTTAAAACCACATAATAAGACTTTCTTCTTTGACTTAGCTTAATATAGTGGAGAGAGTATACCATACACCACCTCCAAATGGTGTACGATACACCATGGAGCATTCACGATCAGTTACCATTGGATATCAACCCTGATTCCCTTTGACAAACATTTAACTTGGTGTGGTTAATCACCACCATAAATCATTGGGAACAGACAGTGGATGCTACTGTGTTATATATGAGGGGAAAGGTTTCTATACCTCCTCTATAGAAGATATATATTCGCCCCCCCCCCCATCCAGCCATCCAATCAAGTGAGCCATTGACCGTTTAATCTAGATCCGACGTCTCAGAGTATTTTTTTTTTATTTTTTTCTACAAATTGTATGAAAATCAAATTTGGTATGTGCCATCTTCTAAATGGGGTGCACCTAATAAAAATATTACGAATAATTTTTCGATACAATATAATGACAAAAACACCCCTTGAATTTTTCAGGGGTATTTTGGTCTCTCTTTTTTTGTGGAATATTTTTTTATATTTTTTACAAGTACGAGTTTAAGAGAGGAGTGGACGTCCAAAATTTGGTGTCAAAATAATTTGGAGAAAAAAAATTAAAAATAAAATAGTGTAGAGACATGACATTGTTATGGGCCATCTCAGCCACCCATTCAGAATGGATGGTTGGATAGAGCAATGTATATAAGTTTTATGCAGTAGGGGAAGCATATAAAGCTTGCCCATATATATGTACCATGCACCGGTAGTGCGTAGTAGCTCTACCTTTCAACTATTGGGGAACTATTTGCTACAATGTGAAGAGAGTTCTCACTCGCGTAATTTGTTTCCCAAATGAATTTTTCTTGGTTCCAGTTATACTCATTCATCCTTGTGTATTTTGTTTGGATGAAAGGCTGCCCCTTATGACAGCCAACTGACCACCATTGTTCAAAATGCATAACATGCATAAAAGTGGTGAACTGTAATATTTCTACTCAGTATGCTACATGTAACATCTGTAATCACAATCAACAAGAATGGCCGATATAATGAATCTATGATATAATTAAGTGTGGGGCCCTCAATAGGATCACAGTGTGCATGGAATGCACTTGCACTTTAGGTCATAGGGTTACAAGCTTTTGAGGAAGTTCAGTGGTAGGAATTGAACTTGAGATGTATTGCTAAAGTCAACTGCTAACACTCGAGTCGTCGTCCAATTCCTGAAAGAGTAAGGTCAGCTTTGTTTAGGTACCTTAATGATATGTCCACCACTAGACCAGAGCTTTAGTGTGAGATTGTAGCCTTTTCAATTGACAAAGCATTTATGGGCCCTATCTTGTTCTCTCTTAATTAGCTTGGCAAGTAACCAAGTCTTGAGCACATTTCAGATGGTTCATATGACAAATTACATACAGGGGCACCCCCTGGTCTGGCCAGACTTAGACCCTGGCGATTCTAGAGGGAGAAGCCCAAAAAACTGTCGAGTCTCCCGCTCCCAAGGTTTCCTTTGTTATTTTTGTTTGCTCAGCTAATTTTGTTAGCTCGGGCTCGGGACCTTGGCGATGCGGAGCCAGAATCCCACCTTTTTTTTTACACTGATAATGACATTTGATTGGTCTAAAGGCAGCAGTAGTAACGACTTCACACTTGCAGGACTATGAAGTACTAGCCACCAATACTGGAGCAAGCAAGACTGCTGAGGCAACAGTTGCTTAGCACAAGACACCCCCTTTGTAAAAAATTTTGGACATCGCCCTGGTTAATCATTGTGGAAGCCATTCTCGTAATTTTCTTAAAAAAGAAGCCATTGTTATGCGTGTGGAAATTTTTTTTTTTTTTCCACGATTACATTGTAAGCTTTTTCATCCTAGCAGTTATAAAAAGAACAATTGTTCTCCTACTATTGTTGTGAGCTTTTTCATCATAGCAATTATTAAAATAACTTCTCAACAGTTCTTGTGAACAATGTAAACAATTTCTTGTATGACCTTTTTCTTTTTATGATTGGGAGAAGTGAAGCTGAACCAATTAATTGGGAAAGGGCTCTGACGATGATAATGATGATGATTAGGAGAAGCGACGTGTGAAGAGTTGTCAACATCACACATGATGTTTTAGAATCCAAAATTTCATATTTGCAATTACCATCTCCCACCCCAGAGAGAGAGAGAGAGAGAGAGAGAGAGATGGCAAGTGTGCACACACGTACACATGTTTTATGTAAACTAAGAACCTCTGAAAATACTAAAGTTATGGGTTAAATGGATTGTGATTTATTTTGGATATGATAAGACTATTAACTTTTGGTATTAGGGGACTGCAATTATTCTATACCTTTAAATGTAAAATTGTATGCTTAAAGGTGTGATGTTAATTAGGTTCAAAGTTCAAAAGAGTTTTATCAAACGTTGTGATACACCTTAAGCTATCTTATTTGATACCCAATAGCTAGAGGAGATTGTGAAGTCCTTATTCCAAAAATAAATAGCCTTTATAATATACGATAGCTTTTATTTTTAAACATTTTAGTGAAAAAATATTTCTCATTAATCAAGTGTATTTGAAAATCTTGTCAAAAAATACAATGGTATTTGTTGTTGTAGGAAAATTATTTATAATTTGTACGAGTACAGTTATTAATAATTACAAATGCACCCTTAATACCCAAGCTATGCATAAAAAGCGAACTTTAAGTAAAACGAATCACATACTTGTCAAATCATATCTTATTGGAAAGGTAACCTTTTTAAGATTGTTAAAGTTGGACCATTTGAGAGCGTGTGTGGAAATTCACGTTGAGATTCCATTTATTATCGGATTGTAACGATAGTTCCATTGTATACTTTATGGCCAAAATCTTACTTAGTGTATATTATATTTTACTTTATATATCAAATTAAGCTCATATTTATGGCATCCATAATTCTCCCTTACACACTTGTAATAAATACAAACAGCAAATTGAATGAAAAATTTAACCAAAGAACTTCTGAAAATTGGAAGGCATGTTTTTTATTTTATTTTATTGAATTTTTACTCGTTTTTAAAGGTATATAACGGTGAAAAGTATGAAAACTTAAAATTTGAGATTACTGCAATGAATAGAAAAAAATCAAATTAGAATAAAATATTCGCTCTTAAAAGTGGTTTGAGTCACGTCAACCATGATCTAGTTATCCCAATTTGATCCGAACTTAGTTGAGTCTAGGTCTATTGGATTTGGACCCGACCAATGGAGTCGGGTTGCATGTCCAGATCCTAACCCAAGTCGGGTTCACACGACGGGTTTCAAAGCTTGGTTTGGAAGCATTGGACTTGGAGAATCTAAAGCTCTTGTTTAAGAGTGCTTTGCATATTTGTCGACCGGATTAATATGCAAACGGAACCTCATTTGCAACTTGCTATTGGAATTCAAATGGAATTAATCTGACCTAACTAGCATGGAAACAATCCCTCGTGTACGCATTTAAACGTATTTCTCTAGCAAGAAAACCTATTTAATAACTACAATTTCATTCATCATCATCCGAGCTTTATCCCAATTATTTGGGGACAGGTACATGCATCATGCTCCGCTATTTTGCTGTATCCAAGATCATACCTTTAGTCAAACCATAAATCACCATATGACAACTATAATTTCACTTCCGTTTGTGAATAATGAGGATCGAGCTCATGTGTACATAGCTTAAACTGGAAAGAAGCATATTTAATGGCAAGTAATAAATTCATGACATAGAAGGTAAATACCTACCAGATCAGGAAAAGTTAAAAGGAAATAACTGTTTCCAAAACAGATGGTATATCACATATAAAAATTAGTTATTCAATAGGTAAGATAGTTATTTCTTAAAAAATAAGGTTCCAAAATAGATGGGAGCTTCAGCTACTTGTTGTTTTGGGTAAAAAGTTTCAGGTACTAATAAGAAGGTAACTGTGATTTTCATATATGAGACAAAAGCAATGTGTTTCAAAGACGTGCTACATCTAGATTCTGAGTTGATGCCCTAATTATAGTGCAATGCTCGACAATGAGTAAAACTACAAAAGAGTTAGGTCCCAATCAGGTCCATGTCCAGGTCAGTCAGACCCAGTCCAAAAATATTTTGGTCGGGTTGAGGCCGGGTCGAATATATTACATTGTGTACTTATTGTACTTATTTATATAGGGAAATGATCCAATGCAACGGTTGTATAGTAACATAATGCAACAACACATTTAGAAAACCATATTTTTAACATTTGTATGATCCCAAATTTTGCACGCACATTCTCTTCATCCTCATAATTAATCTTACGAAATAAAAAATTCAATTTATGCTCTAGATATGGTAAAAATTAATACCTATCCAACAATGAATCTCAACCATCCATTTGGTAAATTTCAAGATCTAGGCCTTAACAAATTCAAAATCACTTTTTCTTTTTTAGCATTATTAATCTAATGATGATAACGTTATATAAAAACTTTAGAAATAAAAAAATGCTTTTGAAGCCTATATCTAACCATCTCAATAAAATGGACTGGACAGTTTATATTAATTGGGCTAGAATGACGACTTTCTAAAGCATTTTTTCAAAAAAAAAAAAAATTGTGTTTGTTTTTCATAATGAAATGAATGTACATTTAAAAATTCGTGTAAAACAAATATCTCTAACATAGTTTTTGAAGATGGTTGCATTATGCTACTGCATGAAATCATTCCCCATTTATATCTGTATATATCTTGCACTCTTATTGCATCAACACGCTTAAGGTTCGGAGAGTTTCGAACGGATTTAATGGAAAAAAAGCTTATATTCATCAATAGCACCAAGCCCATTGTTGAGTTTCATGTTAGTGCACATATACTAAAGGCCCAGAGGCATATATTCTGAATTCACAGTAGAAGTGCAAATCTACATGTGGGCTCTCATATTGTTAAGCGTGCAAAATGGGGTGGTGGCATTGCCTCGTGGGTGCCCGTTGTTCACAGAGGTGACAGGTACTAAGAAAAACAAAGGGAACTCAGCATGGTCTTGATGAACTCAATATCCACCATGTTGAAAAGGAATTTTTTGTGAATTATAAAAAAAAAAAGAATTTATTATCATCGACAAAGCTTTTTTCCAACTAATTGTTTCCAACTAATTGAGGTCCGTTATTGTAAGTTTTTGACAAAATTTTGGCTTGCCTATCTATCACAACTTACTCCTTTTACCTAGGCTCAAGATGGATTAACGAAAAGTTTAAGAATCCTCTCCCTTAGACCAATAAAAAGAAAATAACTACACTCCTAAAAAGAAAATGCTTTCATCCCAGTAGAAAATTGTGAAGCACTCGGAACTCCAAGAAACCATTCTGTGGCCCTTCACCATCACTGAGAAAAATGGATGCTCATGGTGAGCTTAAATACAGAGAAGAGATACTGAAGGCATCAGCATCATTTGCAGTTGTTATCAAGCTATACACGAGTGAGCAAATGTAACTATATACATCACAATATTACACACCCTCCTCCCCGTCAGAATTAGCTTTCTTGCTGTGGCATTGTTCCCTGGTCTCTAAAAGCTCAGTTGCCACCAAAAAGAAACAAAAAACCACCAAATGACACTTCCGCACAACTACGATGGTGCTTCGGCAGATGGTGATGGTGCTTCAGCCCCACGAGGAGGGTGCTTCTCTGGAAAATATTTCTTGTTAAAAGATGCTGCCTCTTCTGGGTACTTTTCCCTAATAAAGTTTTCTATGCATTTCTTATACGAAAAGTCCTTGCAATCACCATTCACTGAAACGATGTGGAAGCACCTACTGCCGGGATGCAGTGAATGCTGATCAATCTGTTTAGTTTTCAATAACTAAATGCATCAGTTAAAGAAAAAGGTTATATATACTGTAACTCTTGACATATCATAAGTTTAGTTACCAAAAACTAAAAGCGAACGTGGAATTAAGATCTGTGGACCTTAACAGACCAATCAAGGTTGTAGAGAGTGCTGTTAATTTACAAACTACAAATCAAACTTCCCACTCATAAATCATTGGAACAGTCTAGAGCAAATTAAGATTTATATCACAAAAAGAAGGGCTTCTAGCATATCAAATTTCTGAAAATGATGCATTGCATCAGCTTCTAGCTATAGTCCACATCCCTAAGTTGGTCCTTACATTAGTGGAGGCATGTGGGCAGACGATTACTACTGGAATTCAATATAGGAAAGGAAAATGACGGCTAGGATACAACCAATATTCATGTTACAACCTAAAGAAAATACCAACTTCAGTTATGAAATTTGATTCTGCAAGAATATTTAGCAAACTTATATGAAGTATAAATTAATGGTACATTCCCTCAGATCTTTTGAAGGCATTTATGAGCATTGAGCAAATTGCTATTATTTACACTCAATTATGATTATGCATTACATGACAAGACAGTATTAGACTTGCCAATTTAGCTAAATACAGTTAACTCCATGAAAGAACTTCCAAATAAGACATGCACAGGCACATTAAATGTTGTAAACCAATTACCTTAACAAAGTCCACGCTATCACCCATTTTCTGTGCCTTGTCCGGATGGTAATGAAATATGTTTTCCAATATATATGATTCATCTTCTTGCGAAAGCCGATCACCATCTTTGTACCTGTGGAGATGATTAGAATGTTACACCCTTAACCAAAAGATTAGCCAGAAAAAATTGCTTCACAGTTAAGATACGAGTAACTAGATTATTAGGTCCATTGTATCTTATGAAAAATCCAATTTGCTTAAACAAACCACACCCCCCTTCCCCCCCCTCTCCCCAAACAAAAAAAAGAAAGGCCCACAACAAAAAGAGAAATAGTAACAGAGCTTAAGTCCCCGGATGAGTCCGAAACGGAGTCTCTCCATTCAGTGGTCTCACGAGTAATGTTGAAGGCATTGACAATGCCCAAAGGGACATTCACAAGGTACTCAAGATGATTGTGTATGATGTACCGCAGTCAGACCTAAGCAAGTTCCACAAAACAGATACCTAAACAAGATCCAAACTAAGTGATAAGGGAAAGCGGGAACCCTCCAATCTCTCTATTGGGTGAACTGTAATAAAGAATCCAGAGTAGTTTCCTCCTCTACTACTTCTGGTTTAGCCCCCTAGGCCAGCCACCCTCCCAGATTCTCCCCAAGGTGTCTAATCTCGGCAAACCACTCTTCCTCATGAAACTTCTTTTGTGAAACTCTGGGGGCTAGAACCCAATACGAGTAGCACCCTCAGGCTCTCAGCTGCAAGTACCAACCTGCAGTACTTGCTAATGATACGGCAGCTTTTTGGGGTGACAGACCCTGCTGATGGGAGCCCCTGGCTGACCAGGGAGCCTATAGAGGTAAATGGATCACCTGTGACCCCACATTCCACAGCCTCAACCAACCACATGCCACCATGTTCTCTGTTTCCACGATCTTCAATCGAATTTCTAACAAATTAGCCTGAATAATCTCCACTGTGTACGAACCAATTTCCTCTGCCCTTAGCAACCTTTTGTCAGAGGAACTTGATCACATTGCTTCCATATGTCCTGCCACTTGGTGTGCGGGTGGTGACTTTAACATCACAAGATGGCCTTTCGAAAGAAACACGAACTCCAGGGCCACCAATTGCATGCTCGATTTCTCATACTTCATTCACGGTCGCAATGGCATCCCTCACAAGGTGCCGATTTCACCTGGTCACACCACTCCACCAAACCCTCCCTCTCTAAACTAGATAGGTTCCTCATTAGCATGGATTTCGGATGCTATTTTTCTGGGCTCCCATTCTATCTCTCTCGCCAACCCCACATCTGACCACAGGCCATTTCTCTAACACACCCTGAGAGCTTAAGGGACCTAACTTCCTTAACCTTGCATCCCAATGGTGGGAATCTTTCTCAGGCAAGCTCCAAGGTTGAGCTTGTTGCCGATTACAAAGAAAATTACTGCTTCTCCAACTGTCTCTAAAAGCTTCAAGAAAGCACTGTCGGGGAATTTCCAAATTTCTAAGAAATCTCTCCTCTAAAGACTATTAAAATCTTGGAAACAATTGAAGAGACCGGAAACATAAACTGGGAGGAAGGAGACCAAAGAACCCAAGCGAAGAACTAGTACCAAAAGGTCCTCAGGAAAGAAGAGATCTTTTGGTTCCAGAGGTCTGCAATCAAATGGCTGAAATCAGAGGGCTCGAATACCAGCTTCTTCCACAAAATTAAGAGGCGCGACAACACTATTACCCAAATCTGAGTGCGGTCGTGCCTGTAAGACCAGCCACTAGTTTTTGAACGCATTTTTTGGCACACATGGCAAGCCCATAGCTAAAGGCCCTTTTGAAACTAGCGGACATCTATTCAGGCATCAAGTCATCCCAAAAATCCTTAAAAGTTAATGGTGGTGGTGGTTTTCAGCAAAAAGACAGCTCGCAGAAGGCAAATGTATGTGGCTGTCAACCCCAACAGGAACCTGGTATCAAATACACTGCTGAAAACATGGAAAATGGCAGAAGGCCTCCAAAAGTATGCAATCGGGCCCCAAACTCCAGGGTTCTTCATTTTAAATGATAGAGGACCTCCCAAATAAAAACCACGGGTTTCAGAGTGAGTTACAACCCTGACCTACTGTGAAGCGCACAATAAAAGACCATGATGAAATCAGTCAAAACGAATGCAAATGGGCATGAAATTGAGCCCAAATTTAATCCAAGATACCCCCAAGATGCTCCCAAAAAATCGGCCTAAAATGATGTAGGATAAAGAAGATATGGCAAAAACCATTTCTGGACTGTAGACCACAGGCGTAATACATAAAAAAGGGTAAACTTAAAAAGGACGCCTGGAAATTAGAGCTTGACAGACCAAAAGACTCAAACAGATGATACTAAATAACTAAAAAACCTTAACATCAAAATTGTGTCTTTTTTACACTGTTTGACCATTTTTACTGAATATTTGGTGATGTGGCATACTACTGAAAAATGGACTTATGTCATCAAAGAAATTGGGTCAAAAAAATCCTGCAACATTGCACATTTTTCGGTGAACTTGTCACAATGATTTCTCCCAAACCCTATAGAATCTCGAGCTGAAATTCGACTATGTTGTTCTCCTCTACACGGTACTTCCGCCAATATTTTCCATGTTCAAAATTGCAGTCCATATGACCTCCGAACAGTTTTTCATTGATATCTCCCAGTCCCGGGGGAGTTTTCTGGCCAAATTTGATAAATTAAGATTGCGAAGCGATAAGCTTTCCAAAGGCATACGGAAAACCACGATCAAGGCACCGTTAGGGGGTCAATTTGAAAGCGAAATGTACCTGATTTTGGGATAGTGCTGATTTTCATGGATCCAGAAGGCGATACCTTGCCTGACTGATAGGATTTTTTGACAGTCTACTATGCAAAACAACTGTGGTGGCAAAGCCTTCAATCTTGGGGCATCGAATAAAGAAATCCGGCAAGATTCCGGCAGGATAAGGCAAGGAAGGTATATGGAAAGTGCATAAATTTGAAATTCACAAAAACCCTTGAAACTCCACCATAACTCAAGAGTGTTAGAGCCAAATTGGACGCAAATCGATCATCTCGTTGTGATCTACAATTTGGCACCAATGGATCAACTGTTTTGGCACCAGAAGTCGAAAATGAAGGCCCCATACCATTAGTATGAGTTGAGGGAAGCTTTGTGAGGGACTAAAGTGGAATTTCAAGAAATCTTGTCCTATTTTCCATACCCATTTGGGTTTGGATGGATGAAAAGCTGATTATCCACCATCCTTTCCCTGTCAAAATTGATCATCCACCCATCATGTACCAAAACCCAACTAAAGAAGAGTTTAACATTTTGGAAAAGGAAGGGGAGTTCCTTTTTTAAAGGGGAGAATTCATTTGTGTCGTTCAGGGTGTACAGAAATTCTGCAGAGAGAAAGATACCCCTTGTAAGGAAAGACCCTAGGAAAATTCAAGGTTTCGTCCTTCTATACAAAGTTGCAGTTTAGCTACCAACCTTTCCCCTCTCTCTCTCCTCACTCATTTCCCAAGTTTGGGTCTCTTCCATTCCTCCAAAGACTCAACTTCAGCAGGATTCCCTTCATCCAAACGAGCCCTCACTGTAGATCAGCTACGATATAGGGGTACTGTCAATCCCAAACAGGTACGTATGTGCAAATCAAAGAAAAAATCCAACAAGCACCTAATCCTGTACTGTTATGCAGTCTGGCGCTTGCGGGGATTCTTGCTACAGCTATTCATCTGGATGTTGGTGACTCCCAAATCTGATCATATCTCTTCCTGTACTTCAAACATCCACCATGTCTGAGGTTGGGGGTGGAAATGAGTCGGGACTTGGACCCTACCAGACCTGGACCCGAAAAATATAATGTGGAACCCAAACCCGGAACGGGACCCAATTGGACCCAACCAAAAAATCAAATTACCAATATATTTCATAAATATGTAAAATATATGCATGCATTAATTAAAGGTGTGGTTTCCATAAGGTTGCAACCTTAAACAATCCAAATAAGACGCACCTCCAAATTTTATTATAACATGTAATTTTGGTGTAAAATTTTTTAGGATCAACTGAAAATCTATTTTCATATCTAATTATAAAATTTAAAAATCCAAAAATGGTTAAAATCAAGTAGATCTATAAACGTATGAAAATCTTGAAAATGGGCAGTCTAGATAATGTGTTGCAAGATGCACTATTTCTGGAACTAAGAATCCTTTTTTTTTTTTTTTTCCCCATATTCATACATATCGATGTTCAAATGATCGATTAGAGGGTTTTTTCAACATTGAAACAACATCCTCCAATGGATTTTTGAGGTGCAATATTATAACTAAAAATACATAATTATATTTATTCAAATATTATTTATGAAATATTATATAAATATCAACACTATTCGCAACCTTAAACAATCCAAATAAGACGCACCTCCATATTTTATTATAACATGTAATTTTGGTGTAAATTTTTTAGGATTAACTGAAAATCTCTTTTCATATCTAATTATAAAATTTAAAAATCCAAAAATGGTTAAAATCAAGTAGATCTATAAACGTATGAAAATCTTGAAAATGGACGGTCTAGATAATGTGTTGCAAGATGCACTATTTCTGGAACTAAGAATCCTTTTTTTTTTTTTTCCCCATATTCATACACATCGATGTTGAAATGATCGATTAGAGGGTTTTTCAACATTGAAACAACATTCTCCAATGGATTTTTGAGGTGCGATATTATAACTAAAAATACATAATTATATTTATTCAAATATTATTTATGAAATATTATATAAATATCAACACTATTCGAGGTCATGTCCGGGTTGGGTCTATATAGACCCGGACCTGAATAGCATTCAGGTCCAAATCTTGGACCCGAACCCAACCTGCTGGCTCCAATCCATTGCCACCCCTATTCGAGGTCAGGCATCTTTCTTTGCCACCCCTATTCAAGGTCAGGCATCTTTCTTTGCCACCCCTATTCGATTGCATGGAAACAGAATTAGAGAAGAAAATAGAACTGAATTATATAGGGATGAAGTGCGCAAGAACAAATTTAATTTTTCAAAGAAAGTTACCTGGTATTGTGTAAAATGCGTCTCCCTGACAACATTAGCGGTTCAACTTCAGATAGAATTTTTTCCTCCTCAGTTGTATATATATCCATACGCTTACGAAATGGTCTTGGAGGTGGAGGGCCATCCCTTTTAAATTTTCCAACAGGGGCATTATCGGGAGATCCAAAGTTAAACCCTGGGGGATAGGGCATTTCTTTTGCTTTGTTATCATTCTGCTTTTTACCACCCCATCTTCCTAGAACACTAGGGCCAGCAAAAGCATTACTGCCCTCTTTGTTTTTCTCACCACCCCAACCACTTGAAACACTGGATCCCACGAAAGCATCAGTGTCTTTCTTTTGCTTTTCAGTGCCCCAGTTCTCCAAACCACTTGATATAGGAGGTGATTTGCTGAAATCATTGCTCCTAGCTTCCCAATCATTTTGCTTGGCCAGGGCAAATGCAGTTTCATCCTCCTCAGCTTGCTTTGGAGCAACTGAGCCACCCCATCCATTTGAATTGCTCGTGGGCAAATCATGTTTATCATCATTTTCTTTTGCACTACCCCAGCCCCAACCATCTGACTTACGGGGTGATTCTCCAGCAGCTTCCCAGCCTGACTTACTGAAACTCTTCTCAGCTGATTTATTATCAAATGAGCTTCCCCATCCATGTGAATTGTTAGAGGGCAATGCTTCTTTATCATGATTTTGTTTTTCACTGTCCCACCTCCAACCATCTGAATTAGGGGTTGATATTGTCGCTCCTTCCCCACCTGACTTGCTGAAACTCTCCTTAGCTGGTTCTTTTGCAAATGAGCTTTCCCATCCCCTTGAATTATTGGAGGGCAAACCTTCTTTATCATCATTTTGTTTTTCGCCCCAGCTCAAACCATCTGACTTGGGTGATTTTGCGACTCCTTCCCAGCCTGACTTACTGAAACCCTCCTCAGCTGGTTTTTTTGTGGCCGAAGTTCCCCATCCATTTGAATTGTCAGTGGGCAAAGCTTCATGATCATCATTTTGTTTTTCACTGCCCCAGTTCCAGCCCTCCGACTTAGGGGGTGATTTCGGAGCTCCTTCCCAGCCAGACGTACTGAAACTCTCATTGCGTGGTGTTTTTGCAACTGACCATCCATTTGAGTTGTTTGTGGGCAACAAATCTTTACCATCATTTTCTTTTTCACTTCCCCAGAGCCTACCATCAGACTTAGGGGGTGAATTTGCTGCTCCTTCCCAGCCACACTTAGTAGAAGTGTCTCCCCCATCTTCCCAGCCATTAGACTTGACAGTAGAAAACTCAACTTTCTCCTTATCTGACTTCCCTTTTCCCCAGCCCCCCCATCCATTTGGATTATCAGTAGCAGCTTGATGATCCTCACTTTTCTCTTCAACACCCCAGCCTCCCCAACCCCCACTTGGCCTAGCTGGTGACTTGGCAACATCCCAGCTTGACTTACCAAACTTACCATTACCATGAGGCCAATCATCATCTAAGTCAATTACCTCAGGACTGCCATCGAAGGTTGGTTTGTCCATCGCTGAGAGAGGCTCAGGGGACATTGCATGAAATTTATCTTCATTCATGTTGTCCACATCCATGCCCAGACATGAATTGTCAATTTCATTTGCACCTGGAGTGCTAACCAAGTGGAGAAAGTCATAGACATCTGTACTGTATTCATGAGGCACTTCAACCTACAAGACGAAATAATAGGACACAAATCAATAATATAATAAAAACCAGCAATTTAATAAAAGACAGCTTGATCCAATTATTTTATGCAGCTTAAATACAGACGAGTATTTTTAGAGGAACTAAGGAAGCTCAGATAACATATCCATAGATATCGAATAAAAGAAACCACCAGAGAGAACAACAATCAACCAACAAAAAGGTCCAAGGATATGGGCTAACCTGCTTGTTGTTCCATGTGACCTCAAAACGTGTTCCTGTACCAACTGCCACAAGTTTACCCCAGGAACAAGAAGCAACTATGCCAGACAGGGAATCCTTATTACGACCTTCAGCAGCTTTCTCAAAACATTTCATTGGTGTCTATGAATAATTACTTGGCAAGTCAGCTCAGGCATAATCACACCAAGAGCATGGAATAGAGAAGTAATAATAGCCTTTCATCCTTAACACATCAAAAATGTAAGAATAAAATAAATTCTGGAAAAGAGAACGCTTACATATAGAGTGGCCTCTGTAAATGGCAGAGGAACCTTCAAAGAACGAAACAATGCCTTATAGCCAGAAGTATTAAAACCAACAAGTTTTCCAGTCAAGGCCATGTTATCAGCCACCAACAACAGGTGCTCTCTGAGTATACCTTTTGCAACTTTACTCAAGGATTTTGAGAGTCGCTGCATTGAGGAAGCCATGGTCAGAAACACATTCACCAAACACCCTAGAAGTACTTAAAGTTTGGCCAAGAGCACTAAAGAAGCTCAACGCAAGTCTAATATCTTAGTAAATATAAGGGGTCTGGAAGCCCCATAACTTCCCTTCCAAGTTGAACCATAACAAAGGAATGATCTTGGACACAGTCAAACCATCATCAAGCCAACATTTTGTCATCCATCTTTCAGTAGTTGTTGCAAACAATGCTTCTAATCATATGCTAACATGCAAATGTGGCATTCAATAAAATTTTCTGGTTTCAAATTCCTAATAAATCAATTATCATGAGGAATATCAATAAAAACTGTAGATTTCCCAATCTTTTATTTATTGTTCATAGTTTATTGTTTTGTGTCTTGCTTATGTTCCCCTTGTACTTAGGAAGCCCAGTATTATCTGCACTGAACAATTGAACCGGACCTGACCACACAGAACACACTCAAATTGGATGGTTACTTCACCCTTATAAACATCGTTCAAAATTATTACAAAGAAAAATTGCTTAACGTATAAAATGAAGGGTATCATTTCTCTTTCTTTTTTATTTTCATTGTCGATTTTTACTTATATTCAGGCTGCCAAGTCATGCATGATGGTTTATACATTCCAAAGCCACATTTCAAATTTGATCATCAATTTGTTGAAGATTACTGAAAAGGTATCCACCATTCAAAGGCTCTTCAGCAACTCAAAAACTATTGGTGGTTCTCAAACTGCACTCATTATGCTTAAAAGTAAACTCCCTTGGATGATTAGAAACCTCATCCCTAGTAGATTTGCAACAAAGGGAAAAACTCAGCCTTCAAAAACTATTTACCCTCAAAGATTGAAAATAATTAGAAATTCTGGAAACATGTAGACTTCAACGCACACAAAATCTAACTAATAAAAGCCTTGAAAGTCTATTTAATATCTTGCAATAGGGAGCAACTCATACTTGATCATTACTGCTTTTCTTTTCCATAAACCCCCTAATTAATGTAACTTGTGGCTAGCCAATGACTGACTCATGCTTCATAGTGTAAGTCTCATGGTTCATGTGAACTGAAAGATATTGTGATATAAAAAGGACATTTACCAAGTAAGGTCGACATTTTCTCTAGCAATATTCACTGAACCTCAGCCACCATTCAGGTTACCAATGCTCACACAGGTTATTATGAAAGTTTCAAGTTCGATCTTCACCAAAAGGTAAAAAAGCACAGTAGCTCTGGTTTCGGAATTTGACACACTGCTTTGTTACAGTGTTTCTTGCAACTTGTAAAGCATAAATTTTTACAATTAAAGTAAATCTTGACGCCTCAGATATTGACTTTGAAGGATTAACGTCCACAAGATGCTGCATATGTGCATGCCATCTTTTGAGACCATAAAACTGTCTAACATTTCCTCTTGAGTGAAGATACGTCTAGGCAAACAAATAGTAACAAATAGAGCTGTTCAGTAGGGAGGAAGGAGCTTTCTAAATCCAAAGAAGTAATTGCTAAGTCTACGAAAATGCAAACAGAGATTATGCAGCAAATGCAACTCTAGGTTAAACATAAATGGAACACTGCATTACAACTCAGAGAACATCCAATACATGTTAATATCAAAAGGGAATATTCTTAGACGCTATATCAAATCAGGAGTCAGTACTTCAACTAATTCAGTCCTGACAAAAGTACAATAGAGGCAATACCTGAAATGTCAAATCGAAAGCAGACGAGATGCCAAGATATTCTTCAATCTGTTTAATACCATAGGGAATGGAGCGCTTGATATCTATCAAGTTCATAACAGGCAAGCAAGAATCCAGAAATGTTCTCCAAGCATCCCCTCTTTGCTTGACAACATTTTTATCAATCACAACTTCTAAAGCTATCTCACCCCGCTCTTTCTTGCAAGGTTTTCTGACCCAAGATGGTGCATCTGGATCAATCCATATAATGTTCACCATATTTACGCGAGAATCCCCTGTACATTAAAGATGACGTGAAGTCAGGTAACAATCATGAACCATAAACCTCTAAATATCTAGAGAAGAAAAATATAATATTCTAAATGAAACAAACAGGTGAACTTCACCAACTATAAAGTAGATAAATATTCACTGGTCCCATTTTCTTGTCGAGGTTAATCAATAAAGAAAAATATAGCCAAGCCATGAAGTGTGGCAAGAAAGTAAATAAAAATGCCTAAAAAGAAATGCTTCAGATGCAATTGACCACATTTCAAGGGAGAGAGGAGATAGGATCAAGGTAAATGTTTCTTCATCCATGTATACCTTGAACAATCATTTCCAACAATCTTGGGTAGATTGTGTTCACAAAAAGATGCAAAACTTTTCCAGTATCATCCCCACATAAAACTCTATCATGATATTTAAATTGTAAACATGGCACTGATGACCAGTTCCCATCAGATGCCTGGCCAACTCTGCATTCCTCACTGAAACACCAAAAGATAAAAGGGATAGATAAATAAACATTCAACTGAAAATAATGTCTTCTTCCTAAAGGAAATGGAACATAAGTAACAATGAGCAAAGAGCACCTCAAAAATAAAGAATTCATAGATGACAATTCAATTACCCACAAAGCAAAAAAGTGGTATGGGAGAGTGAGAATGAATTCTTATCATGTTACTTTCTCAATACTCTGTTGAAGGACCATCCTATTTTTCCCAGTTAAACCAAAATGTATTTGTCCACTATAAAGCCATCCAATTCAAACTATAGAAGCTCTAGAATTGAAGACCCTGGGGTTTTAAGTAAACAACACTTTTAAGTGCACGGAGAGCGTGTACCAGGCATGCGTTCTCAGGAGCAACAGGAACACTAGGGTCCACACACTATTCCAATAAAATATATATGAGGAATAATTACATGATTACCCCTGGGATATTTTACTATTTGCTTGTACTAGTGCACAGAATAGAAAAAGGAACAATAATGAAAAACAAGAAAAACAAATTGTGCTGGAATGCGTTTTCACTAGGGGCACCTTTCACAGCCTTTAAACAGGATGATGGATTGTTTCTCAAGCATATTCTGACTCTAAAATTCAACCAACAAACTTCCTCACTTCCAAAATGTGAGCATCTAATACTAGTATAACATTGCATCCCTCTAGCAAATTACTTACATCTGTATGAATTCTAACTCTACCCAGAAATGATTATATAAATGTTTACTGATGTGCACCTAGAAAACCAAGAGATGGTAGTGGATCTAGGGAATCTCCAATCTTAAACATTGAAGAACAAAAAAAGAGTAAAACGGAAAAGAAACAGAAAAAAGAAAAAGAAGAACAAAAAACAAAAAACACAACTCAATCTCGTAAAAAAGAAAATGCTCAAAGATAGTGAAAAATCAGTATATATGGCATCCTTATTACTCACATTCTAGAGAATTCTCTCAACATTCCTACGTCTCTCAAGTAGAAGTTTGCCTTAAGAAAAAAATATTAGGGCCCATTTGCAAGAGCGGCATGGGACCTCCCAATCCCACAATTCCATAATGAGTGGCTACAGAATTGTGGAAAGGGAATTGGGGAAGAGTTAATTTCAACACACACACACACACAAAAAAAAAAAACTTGCGAGCAGATCATTGATATAAAAGGGCGCCAAAGCCCAAAGAAGCAGAGCATCGACCACATGTGGAAACCGCAATATAACAGCGTTATGATCATATCCTTCATTAACAATGATGAGCGCCAACCAAGTCATTCACAATAATATGACCTCTCATAAAACCAAGTCAATTATTTATGATCTACATCATAAATAGCCATGATCTAAGAAGGGTGAGGACCTAAAACTTTCCATTAACCGGGTAAAGGAGTGGGTTGTGTGAGGTAGGCAGCCAACATAAAACTTTGCCAAGACTTTCCACAAATCCTGAATATACGCCCAGTATAGCACCTGTTAGGAGGTGCTAGTTGGTTCAAGTGGAAGGCTAAAAAATGGCAAGGGGTAAACCTGTTAGGACATGGTTTGACATAGAAAAGAAATGGAGATTATGGCCTCACTGAGGGTATGGCTTTTGATAGAGCAGAATGACAGACCGAGATTCATGTAGCCCACCCTTACTGGTAAAAAAGCTTTGATGAAGATGATGATGATCATAACTAGCCATAGATACAAAAGAAAACAAAAGAATGATATTGATATCAGCATGAACCTACACTTAAAATGAGATGATCTGCAAATGATAATTACCTAGAACTGAACCTCAACTTCTTAGAATGTCCACGAAAAGGCGAATTCTTTTTCCTAATGTCATTTGTGACTTTTAATAAAATGTCTTGTACAGTAACGTTCAACCCACTCAACTGCATCTGTCCAAAAGGAAAATATGATAAGCACTGAATAAATTGGGGGTACATCAAGTAGTAAAAAACTGTGCAAAACCAAGGAAGTAAACTACTTATCCGAAGTTGAGGAAAATGGCCGACTCTGTGCCATTGTCTATCATCATAATCACCTTATCCAGATGAATGTGTCCAACAAGGTTTGCTTCGATTTGTCTGATTTCAGACGTAGTAGGAATTTGGTTATCATATCTGCAAGAGCAAAAAAGAGTCTTTAAGCAGAAGAAAGCCGAAGCTATAACAAAATAGCGAGGAATTTATAATTCCCAGAGCATTGAAATGGAAAGTTGCAGTAAAGAGAAATTCATGACACCAGAAATTACTCTTCAACAAGAAACAACATTACATGGAAAAAAGTGTGTTGGTTTCTATCTATTATTTTCAACATGGCAATCAAAGAATTGATACATGGAATATTTGAAAATTACATGCACACATGCATATATGCACTATGTATGCATATCTACGTACATGATTTTGTATATAACTTTGCATATACATATACTTTATGGAAAGGATTTGCTTTACATCTGAGAGTAGATTTGTCTTAAATGTTAGTACACCCAGTGTGTGCATGCATGTGTGTGGATCAAAGTATTTCCGCTTTGTAAAGTTTAGGAAGGAAATTACTGTTGACATTTGTCATAATCATTAACTAAGCCGATTTCTATCTGAAGACCATTAGTTCAAAGAAATATCATTTTAAGAAATTTCGCAGTCGAAGAAATCCAGATGAAGAAACAATAGATGCAACGCTTTTATATAAAAGAAAAAGGGAAAATGACCTCTACCCCCTTTCCCCAAAATTTCCATCCCTATTAACCCCTTGGGTTCACCAAAATCCCTTGTACCCCCCTCAAGTTTAAATTTTTGGGACCGTTAGCCCCCCAATTATATTTTTCTTTGATCTTTTTATAAATTTGATCTTTTTCTTCTTTTTTTAACAAAATGCCAAACCCATACATTAGTTATCTTTTTTCTTTTTTTGTGACTTGATACATCTCTTATAGGTATTTTCATAAAAAAAATTAACAATTGATTAATCATTTTTCAAGTTCAAAAGATATTGATGCAGTTCTAAAGTAGGTCATAATATTAAAAAATTCATTTTATTTTCAAGTCTAAATTTATAGAGTGGGGTGCACAGAGGCAAGATTGGCTCTGGGCAACTGAAGAGAAAGGGAATGGCGTTGACTAATGTATGAGTATGGCATTTTTTTTTAAAAAAAAAGAGCAAATTTGTAAAAAGAACAAAGAAGAACATAATTGGGGGGCTAACGGCCCCAAACTTTAAACCTTAAGGCGGTATAAGGGATTTTAGTGAACCCAAAGGCCTAATAGGGATGGAATTTCGGGGAGGGGGGTCGAGGTCATTTTCCCAACGAAAAACAACACTAGGAAACAAAAAAAGTAAAAACTTGGAGAAAACAATGTCATTTATGTCAAAAGTGTACAAAGAGACAACAATACCACAAATAAAACAATTGCTATAAAATAAATAAATACCACAAATAATAAATAAATAAAGTAATATTAATCTAATAAATAAAGTAATATTAATCTAATAAATAAAGTAATATTAACCGAAGTTTCATTCTTTTCAAGTAGCATGGGTATTCTTTCCAGAATCACCCAAGTCATAAATTTCAGAGGTTCTGTCCTGAAACCATCAATTCCTAGCAAGCAGTAATTTATTGGATAGTTTATGTGTAGGAATGGAAAGAGTGACGAAACAAATTGTGCCAGAAAGAAATATTAGCATAGAGAGCATTATATGCACCGACACCGTGCAGACCAAACAAGTATCTCCTAGTCAATAGAGTATTTAGAAATACACTAAGCAGGGCTTATTGAAGAGACGAGCAAATAAAGAACCAAGAATGCAGTTTAACTATCAGATCTACCCAATAGCTCGATCAATTTATAAGAAATGCAAGAAATTCAACTTATGTGGTTAAATGTAAAGAGTCAACCAAACCAAGAAGACAATTTTAACTTGTTATATCTGAAACCAGTCGGCATGAAGAAGTTCATTAAGGATGGCTTACACAACAAAGAATTCTGCAGTAAAGTCCTTCAAAGGAACCCCCTTCAAGTGCCGCTGAACCATACAAGCCATGTTCTCCTTGCAATACTTCTTACCACAATGGCAGTCTTGCAAGTAAACAACAACCCGCCTATCATCGAGTTCTTCTGAAGAATTCTGTTTGCAAAACAGGATTTCCTGTTTGCCAGTGAAAAAGAAACGGATTTCCTTGAGCCATCAGAAAATGGAAGCATGTGAAGGATACAAAACCAGAAACAGATCTGAACGACTTTTTATGGGAAAACTGCAAAGAAATACCTTCATCAGGTTCCAAGAAGAAGTATTGCTCTGTGAAGAACTGAGAACAGCTGCATAAGCAGGGTTTGATACGGCAGTTGCTGCCAAAATACCAACAGGTTCACCGGCTGAGGCAGAGACATCAACAGTTTTACGGTTCCCTCCATACTCAAACTGAACGAGAAGATTGCTGCAAACATTTCTAACTGTCCCATCATAACAAATCACAACATCTCGTAGAACAGCCATCAAATGCTTAAAAAGGATTCCTGGTTCTGATAATCCCTTTGATGAGCGCACAGATCCTTCACGTACAGAAACGGAATACACCAATTCCTCATATGGGTTCAATCCATGAAAAAGACAAGATTTAATCAACCCAAAGGACTCAGTCGGGTAATCAAACCCCTTTGCCACATGTTTACTTTGAATGAATGAGATCAGATCATCAACCAAATCCTTTGTGTAGTACTTCCCCCTAGAGAAAAGCTGAAGTCCCAAAAAACCAATCTGTTCAACAACCTTGTTAACCGCCTGGGAACTCGAAGAATCAATCAAACCACCTAAAGAGGAAGATTTCAAAATAAATTTCACGATCGGAAGCTTAGCATCATCCAGGGATTTTGCCACTTGAGATTCTATTAGCTCATTATCAGTTGATCTCATATGTTTCAACAATGGTGAAATGCTTTTTATTTTACTTTTTATGTGATCCATTATTGGTTTGGGAACATTAAAATCTCCCAACCCAATACTGTATCCTTCCATAAACAATATCTCCATGAATAGAGGCTGCAAAGAATTGAAGACCTTAAGAGCCTCTTTCGGACCCTTCATTAGGACAATGGAGTTCAATATTTCAGTTAGTAAGGGTGGCAACTGATCTCTAGTGGGCTGCATCTCCAATATTTCACTGTGAGAAATAAGGTATCTCGGCCCAGAACAGTCAAAAGAGGATGGCAAACCAGACTGAAGAAGTTGCAAAACAGTCCAAAGAGGGCCATCCCTAGCTTTTACGATTGCAGGTTCAATAAAAGACGGCAAAGTCCACATTGATAACTGCTGCACAGTCGCTCTATTCACAAAATAAGTCTTAAAAACAAGTTTTGCAGAGAGCAGAGAATCATGCATGAATTTTACGTTTAAAGACCCACTATGGGAACTTAGTAGTTGCTGCTCAACACTGAAAAGCTCAATCGCCTCCGCCCTTGCTGCAAGAGACTGTGGATAGAAAATGTGAATACAGTCGCCATCAAAATCAGCACCAAATGGTTCACAGATAAGCGGGTTGATCTTTATGGTACTGTCTTCATGGACATACACTGAAAAGGCTTGTATAGAATGCTTGTGTGTACTAGGAGGCCTGTTTATAAAAACAATATCACCATCTACAATTCTTCTATTTATGACATTACCAATCTTTAGAGATTTTGATCCTTTTGAACTATCTCTAAGAACATAAGTTGTCTGGCCATCCTTGAAAGTAAGGCATAACCCCCTATCCAAGAGACTCTGCAAGCGATCTTTGTTCATTGATGTGACCTTCTCTTCAAAAGTTATTTTTCTTGCAATCTCCAAGGGTAGTCCTATTTGATTGATTCCCATATAGGCATCACCAGTAATAACACTGCGGGATGAAAACCCTGAACCTTTGCTAATAAAAAACGTTCTCATTTTCTCAAGCCATAGTCTTGCAGAAGATTCATTTACCACTTTGGGAACTCCAACTTTCCTCAAGAAATTTCCAGATTCCTAAAAATAAAAAAAGGAATGCAAATGGAAGTAGAACTAGTGATAATCAAAGAACAAAACCCTGAAGAGAATAACCTCATACACATAATAATCAAATCTCCGATATCTTTGGGTGTGTAAATACATCTGCACCCATGTGTATACAAATGGCATATGCCAATGTGTGTGTGTGCATGGCAAGCGAGTGAGAGAGAGTGAGAGAGAGAGAGAGGGAAAGAGAGAGAGAGAGAGAGAGAGAGAGAGGAGGGAGGGGGGAGGGGGGGGAGGGGGGGAGGAGGCGAGTACTACTACTACTACTACGTACGTACGACGTACTACTTACGTACGAACGTAAACGTAAACGTAACGAACGTAACGTACGTAC